GGTGTGTTGGGTCATTGTCCTGTTGAAAACAAATGATAGTCCCACTAAGCCCAAACCAGATGAGATGGCGTATCGCTGCAGAATGCTGTGGTAGCCATGCTGGTTAAGTGTGCCTTGAATTCTAAATAAATCACAGACAGTGTCACCAGCAAAGCACCCCCACACCATAACACCTCCTCCTCCATGCTTTACGGTGGGAAATACACATGCGGAAATCATCCGTTCACCCACACCGCATCTCACAAAGACACAGTGGTTGGAACCAAAAATCTAAAATTTGGACTCCAGACCAAAGTACATACAGTATCTTTCCCATGGGACTTGATACGTTATAGGTCCTGAGTGGTTGACGTCACAAAACACTATCAGAGATCGTTTATCGCTGGTTCCATAAACCAATGTTATTACTCATGTCTATCAGTGTAGCTACCAGAGCGAGCCTGAGCCCTAACTACAGAGAGAGCTACTTGGGACTGAAGGGACTATTATTCATCTCAGCTTTATGCCACAGGCCACTTCTCTCTGGCTGACCTTTAGCAGTTTCCCAGTCTCTTATTCAGCCTGAGTTTATTTTCATCCACATTCACATTCAGATCCGCTGCTGATGACATTTTCAGCTGATTTATGTCCTAATGATTGCAGGGTCTTTGCTCTGCATTCTGGCTATTTCACACTCCAGTGAGTCAGTGGATACGGTTGTTCATTACAGGTTTGGTGAAAGACAGGAATGATAATGTTGTCATCTCAATAACTGTGGTTCATTCAGGCACCTCAGACTACATTGTCGACATGCCAAGCAGGCAAGGTGGACAGGGACAGAGTGGGGGGAGGAAATAGGAGGAGAATAATTGATATGCAGGGCACTGTATTTTGACTTTTCATATTGGTTCTAACCATGCACGTTGAGATTACTAATATTGGAGAGTTGAGTTTGAACTGTGAGGATATGTATTGACTTCTGAAAGCTGCTATCTGTCTTCTCCTGGACAGCCTCAAAGAGAGATTACATTAGGCAGTTTCTGCTTACCGGGGCACATTTATCTATGAAAAATGGATGACAAATTGATCTTGTGGTTAATAAGAGAACTGAAAAAACACAAATCTGTATTAGAGCCCTATCTCCAGACAGGATGTTTAGTGCTTTATGGATATCATATACAGTATAATGCTGCCTGCACTCCCTGACTGAGCATTGATCATGCAGAGTGGAATGCATTGGATACGACATTAAAGAGATTCTCCGGTACTTTTGTATACTTTTTAGACCAGGGATGGGCACCTTTGATGGGGGTGGGTGCCACAAAAAAAATAGAACTCATCATGAGGGGCCGCAGTGGCTCGTGGGTCTGCGTAATCACACCAAAACTATTATTGGTCTGCAGGACTACAAAAGGGGGGCCAGTTGCCCATCCCTGTTTTAGACAGTAGTTCTGGCCGACGTGGGGGAAAATCTAGGGAAAATGGCACAGCACAGCTTCCAGAGAAACAGTTGCTTTCAAACTAGGGATTTCTTGGCTAATTGAGGTAAGACAGTAATTCTGCTCATAGATTATGCATGTATGAACTACACATTGACACATCCAGCCCAAAGCGGGAGGTTTAAAAAATACTTAGTAGTCACCAAATTTCCGGAGCATGTCTTGAAAAGACTCCTGTCCTGCTTCAGAGAACAGGATGGAACTTAGCATGATACAGATCACAATAATGATAGACATGATAAAGGAAAGGGATCCATCATTCATGGAACATTGCTGAAGAATAGAAAACAAAAAAGAAATGCATGCAGCGTGACTAAGGTTATGTTTGATTTTACACCTACACGCATGGTCACCAAGACCTATGCAAGCACAGGCTCTATAAAATGACCTGACATTACCTGGGCAATCACTCCATACAGATGGAATGAATTTAGGACAAATGCTCTTCCTGACTTTCGGGACTCAGTCGAGAGCCTCAGGGACAGGGGTTTCTTTTCAATGTGCTAGTTTGGCTGGTTAGAAGAGACATGTCAATATTCAAAGCAATCATGACACCTTATGTACAGGGAAATGGAAATGGCTTCTGAAGAAACCCGCACATGCTTCTAACTCCTGGGCGTCTGTTGATAAGTGGGGGAAATCAGAAGGCTAATGTGAGGGGAAATGTGGTTGTCTACAGGGATAGCACTCCCTCTATCTTGGTTCGTGCAGGTGACTGTGACCTCCTCCTCAGACCAATTGGCAGTACACCAAGAATGTCACACCAGCCTTCGCTTTGGCTCCCCCTCCTGTCCAGATTAGGCGTTCGGCGTCGCCGGCCTTCTAGCTGCTGCCGAACCTGCTGCTGGCAAACGCCCTTCACTCATCAACCCTGGACTTGTCTCGTCATCATTACACACACCTGTTTCCAATCCCCACTATATCACTGTATACAGTTGAAGTCGGAAGTTCACATACACTTAAGTTGGAGTCATTAAAACTAGTTTTTCAACCACTCCACACATTTCTTGTTAACAAACTATAGTTTTGGCAAGTCGGTTAGGACATCTACTTTGTGCATGTGTAACAGTGTTGCTTCCGTCCCTCTCCTTGCCCCTACCTGGGCTCGAACCAGGGACCCTCTGCACACATCGACAACAGTCACCCTCGAAGCACCGTTAACCGTCGCTCCACAAAAGCCGCGGCCCTTGCAGAGCAAGGGAAACAACTACTTCAAGGTCTCCGAGCGAGTGACGTCACCGATTGAAATGCTACTAGTGCGCACCGCTAACTAGCTAGCCATTTCACACCGGTTACACATGACACAAGTAATTTTTCCAACAATTGTTTACAGACAGATTATTTCACTTATAATTCACTGTATCACAATTCCAGTGGGTCAGAAGTTTACATACACTAAGTTGACTGTGCCTTTAAACAGCTTGGAAAATTCCAGAAAATGATGTCATGGCTTTAGAAGCTTCTGATAAGCTAATTGACATCATTTGAGTCAATTGAAGGTGTACCTGTGGATGTATTTCAAGGCCTACCTTCAAACTCAGTGCCTCTTTGCTTGACATCATGGGAAAATCAAAAGAAATCAGCCAGAAATTGTAGACCTCCACAAGTCTGGTTCGTCCTTGGGATCAGTTTCCAAACACCTGAAGGTACCACCTTCATCTGTACAAACAATAGTATGCAAGTATAAACACCATGGGACCACACAGCCGTCATACCACTCAGGAAGGAGACGCGTTCTGTCTCCTAGAGATGAACGTACTTTGGTGCGAAAAGTGCAAATCAATCCCAGAACAACAGCAAAGGACCTTGTGAAGATGCTGGAGGAAACAGGTACAAAAGTATCTATATCCACAGTAAAACGAGACCTATATCGACATAACCTGAAAGGCCGCTCAGCAAGGAAGAAGCCACTGCTCCAAAACTGTCATAAAAAAGCCAGACTACGGTTTGCAACTGCAAATGGGACAAAGATGGTACTTTTTGGAGAAATGTCCTCTGGTCTGATGAAACAAAAATGGAACTGTTTGGCCATAGTGACTATCGTTATGTTTGGAGGAAAAAGGGGGTTGCTTGCAAGCCGAAGAACACCATCCCAACTGTGAAGCACGGGGTGGCAGCATCATGCTGTGGGGGTGCTTTGCTGCAGGAGGGACTGGTGCACCTCACAAAATAGATGGCATCATGAGGAAGGAAAATTATGTGGATATATTGAAGCAACATCTCAAGACATCAGTCAGGAAGTTAAAGCTTGGTTGCAAATGGGTCTTCCAAATGGACAATGACCCCAAGCATACTTCCAAAGTTGTGGCAAAATGGCTTAAGGACAACAAAGTCAAGGTATTGGAGTGGCCATCACAAAGCCCTGACCTCAATCCTATAGAACATTTGTGGGCAGAACTGAAAAAGCATGTGCGAGCAAGGAGGCCTACAAACCTGACTCAGTTACACCAGCTCTGTCAGGAGGAATGGGCCAAAATTCACCCAACTTATTGTGGGAAGCTTGTGGAAGGCTACCCGAAACGTTTGACCCAAGTTAAACGATTTAAAGGCAATGCTACCAAATGCTACCAAACCTGCGTTTGACTTCGCCTACCGCATTTCACCGTCGCCTTTTGACACAAATACTAATTGAGTGTATGTAAACTTCTGACCCACTGGGAATGTGATGAAAGAAATGAAAGCTGAAATAAATAATTCTCTCTACTATTATTCTGACATTTCTCATTCTTAAAATAAAGTGGTGATCCTAACTGACCTAAAACAGGGAATTTATACTAGGATTAAATGTAAGGAATTGTGAAAAACAGAGTTTAAATGTATTTGGCTAAGGTGTATGTAAACTTCCGACTTCAACTGTATCTACTCCCTCTGTCAATTGTCTTTCTCGGTCATTGTATATGTTGCTTGTTTTCCTGAGAGGAATCTCTCCTACTATTTCCTGAGTACTTTATATTTTGCACTGTGGGTTCCGTCCTGCTTTAAGCTATGGTGCTTTAATAAATTCAGTAGTTCTAAACCTGCGACTGCCTCCTGCCTACTCTCTACACTTGTGACAGAATGACCGACCCAAGAAAACAGGAGGCAGCAGGACATCCCGACCTCTCCGCTGTTGGAGGGAAGCTCCTACAGCACGACTCGTGCCTGGAGCTCCTCGGGATTGCCATGGACGAGGTGATCCGGACCGTATGCCAACTGCAGGCTACACCTACACCTTCCCAGCTCCTCACGGTTGTTCCAGCCACCCCACCACCATCTACATCACCTGGTCCGATCAGCAACGTCCACCTGCCCCTCCCGGAGCAGTTTGACGGCACCCCAGCTCACTGTAGGGGGTTTCTCTGCAGTGGGACCTCCACCTTGCACGTCATGCCGGGACGGCCTCCGAGAGGGACAAGGTGGCTTTGGTGATTTCAGTGCTGACAGGCTCTGGAGTTGGCGCACGCCATCTGGGAGAGGGACTGTTCAGAAGTACAGTGAGCGCTTCACCCAACTCTTCCGTGCCGTTTTCGACCACCCAACAGAGGGCCGAAAGGGAGGACAGCGTCTGAGTACGCTCTGGATTTCCGGACGGTGGCTGCGTCCACTGGCTGGAACGACCAGGCCCTGTTGACGGTTTTCCACAGCGGGCTACAGGCAGACGTCCAGACCAAGCTTGCCTGTCTTTATGAGGACCTCACGCCATCAACAGGGTCTCTGCTCCTACTGCGGGGAGTCGGACCACCCCTGGAACACCTGTCCCAGAAGGAGAACCAGCCGAGGAAGCGACAGGCCGAGGAGCACTCCTGCACCTTCCCAGGTAGACGTGGACATGCTCCTCTCTGTCCACCTAGCCCATCCTCTTCCCTGTCACCTTCCCAGAGTATCCTGGTCCCCCACTGAGTCCTGCCCTAGTGGACTCAAGTGCTGCAGGCAATTTCCTAGACCGGTCAGTGGCCGTATCATTACGCATTCCTCTAGTCCCTTTACAACCCCCTATCCCAGTCCATGCCTTAGACAACCATCCCCTAGGAACAGGACTGGTGAGCCAGACCACAATTCCCATTTTCCTTACAGTTGATCACAACCACCATGAACGCATCACGTTCATCATCTTAGACTCTCCTGCACACCCCGTAGTTTTAGGTCTCCCCTGGTTACAGTTGCATAACCCTAGTATATTGTGGACAGAGAGGAGGTTGTTGAGTTGGTCGCAGGGGTGTCAGGGGAGGTGTCGCTCGGTGTCTATCTGTGCCACCTCCGTGGAAAGTCTGGACCAGGCCATCCACGTCCCTATCCCGGAGGAATACCGGGACCTACAGGTGGCTAATTTAAAGACTCGTGCCACGTGCCTGCCCCCTCATTGCCCATGGGACTGCACTATCGACCTACTCCCTGGTTCTACCCTCCCGCGGGGGCACATCTACCCTCTCTCGCATGCAGAGACCAAAGCCATGGAGGTCTACATCTAGGAAGCACTGGCCCAAGGATTCCTCCGTCCGTCTACTTCTCCGGCCTCTTCCAGCTTATTTTTCGTGAAGAAGAAGGACGGAGGTCTCCGCCCCTGTATCGATTACCGGACACTGAATAAGGCTATAGTTAAATGTAGTTATCCCCTGCCTCTCATACCCACTGTGATCGAACAGATGCACGGTGCAAAGTACTTTACCAAATTGGATTTACTCAGTGCCTACAACCTGGTGCGCATCAGAGAGGGGGATGAATGGAAGACCACCTTCAGCACCAGCACCGGCCACTACGAATACAGGGTCATGCCCTACAGCCTGACAAATACATCCTCGGTGTTCCAATCCTTCATTAACGAGGTGTTTAGAGACATGTTGGGTCGCTCTGTAGTGGTGTACATAGATGACATCTTGGTGTACTCCATTACACGCGAGCAACATGTCTCTTGTCAGGTCCGTTTTGGAGAGGCTGATAGGGCCTCACACGTACGCCAAGGCGGAGAAGTGCCTTTTCTTCCAACAGCCGGTCTCCTTCCTGGGCTATCGGATATCCGCTGCGGGAGTGGAGATGGAAGAACAGAGGGTCAGTGCAGTACGGTCGTGGCCTGTTCCCTCCAACATCAAGGCGGTGCAGTGCTTCCTAGGTTTTGCCTAGGAAGCACTATTTCAGGTGCTTCATTTGGGGTTTCAGCACAGTGGTGGCCCCTCTCACCTCCCTCCTGAAGGGAGGTCCTCGACAGCTGCGCTGGACTGGGGAGGCCAATGAAGCCTTTCGTGCGCTCAAGGAACAGTTTACGAACGCTCCGGTTCTGTCTCACCCTGATCCGTCTCTGCCCTTCATCGTGGAGGTGGACGCCTCCGAGGTTGGAGTAGGGGCTGTTCTCTCCCAATGTACTGGATTGCCGCTTAAACTCCATCCATGCGCCTTCTACTCATGGAAGCTGTCTCCCGCGGAGCGGAATTATGACGTGGGGGATCGTGAGTTGTTGGCCGTCAAGAAGGCGCTGAAGGCATGGCGGCACTGGCTCAACACCCATTCCTTGTCTGGTTGGACCACCGGAACCTAGAGTACATTCGAGCTGCGAAGAGGCTGAACCTGCGTCAGGCCATGTGGGCCCTATTCTTCACCAGGTTTGACTTTACCCTCTCCTACCGGCCGGGATCTAAGAACGTTAAGGCCAATGCGTTGTCCCGGGTGCATGACACAGAGGATCTAAGGGAGGAAGTGACACCCATTATTCCCCTGTCCCGCATTGTGGCTCCTGTCGTGTGGAATGTGGACGCGGACATCCGTCGAGCCCTACGACAGGAGCCCTCTCCTGCCCACTGTCCCGAGGGGCGTATCTACGTGCCCCTGATGTGCGGGACCATCTCCTCGCCTGGGCACACACAGCACCTGTATCGGGGCACCCGGATATAGCCCGTACTATCAACTGTCTCTCCGCCAAGTACTGGTGGCCCACCTTGGCCCGGGATGTCCGGGTTTACATCTCTTCCTGTTCCACCTGCGCACAGAGCAAGACACCGAGACACCTCCCCTATGGCAAACTCCACCCTCTGCCGGTTCCACAATGACCCTGGTCCCATCTCTCCGTGGACTTTGTCACAGACCTTCCCCCCTCAGAGGGGCACACCACCGTCAGTGGATTAAAGTACTTAAGTAAAAATACTTTAAAGTACTACTTAAGTAATTTTTTGGGGTATCTGTACTTTACTTTACTATTGATATTTTTGACTACTTTTACTTTTACTTCACTACATTCCTAAAGAAAATAATGTACTTTTTACTCCATACATTTTCCCTCACACCCAAAAGTACTCGTTATATTTTGAGTGGCTAGCAGGAAAGGAAAATGGTCAAATTCATGCACTTATCAAGACATTGGCTCCCTGTCTAGGGCCCAACATGGGAAGGATTTTTTTGTTTGCGTAGTGGTAAACCGACGGGTGGTTAGGGGAGCTTCAGTGCAACTGTCAGGAATCTGTGGGGAGGAGGACAGTGGCATGGAACTGCAGTCATTTTAGCTTTCTGTTAACTCTGTCTCCAAGAAATGCCTATAGCACCTCCTGCTCAAGCCTCTATCACAAGTGGATAATTTGTGTCAAAAAGGTATTCTGTGAGATGACAGTATGCACTCATTTGGATACACACAAGAAGTTGAAGACCCTACAGACCTCATGGTCTGAATGTCACAGTGGATGCCCACTAAACACATTTCTTATCCAGGCACAGAAGTACCTCAATCAGAGAGTTGAAATGGAAGGATTTAGGTGAGAGGAAATAGCATTCATGTCTAGAGAGTATTTTTGGTCCTGTCCTTTTATCACAAATCAAGGAATTCCAGTGTCCGGTTCCAGATTGCATTGACCAAATACCCCAAAGTGAGTGAGTATGAATGGCATGAAGGCCCATGAGCCAGACATGCAGCTATAAAGTGTCTGGTGTCATGATTACTTTTGTCGATTAACCATATATTCTATCTGACACCATAAAGAGGTACTGACAAAATGAGATACTGCCACCATGGAGGCTCATCGAGCAGTGTTATACTTGACTTGACCAAACTGCCTGCCTTTTCTCTGCCCTCAGGAAGTGGACATTGTGACACTAAGGAAGCGTTGTCACAACAGTATATTATTGGGTAAAATTGTGACACTGCAAAAAGTGGAATATGAGCTCACAGACTTAGAAGAGAGTGAGATAAATTGGATATGAAATACAGTACACTTTTAAACACATCAATAAAAATACTTTCTAGAACATATGGCTTTCTTCCAATGCTGCTCTGCTACCAGTTGGACACCCAGGGCCAGAGTTACTGTTGGACACTTGGGTGTTTCACTAAGCAATAGGACGTGTTCCACCGCTCGGTTGCTGTTTAACGATTGCTACAGACGAGATGAGACGCCATACTGCGTCGTCGCAAACAACCAAGTGAGTCATTCAGCTCCAAAACCCCTAAAACATGTGGCCCTGATCTTGGCCTTCTGCCTCAGTCTGAGGTCTTGAAATGAGGACAAGGCAGCGCTTCAGAGGACAAAATAAGTAATACTGTAAAAAACACAGGCATGTTTATAATGTGTTTCTCTTACAAATGTGGAGAGTTACACAGCTTACATTACAAGTTTACAAGTTGTCTCTGATTCTGGCACAGCATATGAAAATAACTGTGTCAAGAGTGTTGATGTTGTGATACCGTTATGGTCCTGTACATCATACACATCACAGTAGCAACACTCAAGACCGCCTCTATTAGGGATTTGAGCCTCATGCCAAAAGATGACCGCACCTCTCAATGGCGAAACAGCAATCTAGGATCTGTGCCTGCAAGACCAAAAGCAAAGGGATCGTTTTTTTGTCCGGTGTCATGATTACTTTTGTCGATTAACCATATATTCTATCTGACACCATAAAGAGGTACTGACAAAATGAGATACTGCCACCATGGAGGCTCATCGAGCAGTGTCATACTTGACTTGACCAAACTGCCTGCCTTTTCTCTGCCCTCAGGAAGTGGACATTGTGACACTAAGGAAGCATTGTCACAACAGTATATTATTGGGTAAAATTGTGACACTGCAAAAAGTGGAATATGAGCTCACAGACTTAGAAGAGAGTGAGATAAATTGGATATGAAATACAGTACACATTGAAACACATCAATAAAAATACTTTCTAGAACATATGGTCCTGAACATCATACACATCACAGTAGCAACACTCAAGACCGACTCTATTAGGGATTTGAGCCTCATGCCAAAAAACGACCGCGCCTCTCAATGGCGAAACAGCAATCTAGGATCTGTGCCTGCAAGACCAAAAGCAAAGGGACCGTTTTTTTGTCCAATTTATTTCAATACCACTTCAAAAGCATTGAAGAACAATCTGAATCACTTTGACCATCCTGTCTTATATGTCTTGTATGTTAGCAGGTTGAGGTCCTGAAATAAACAGAGATTTGCACTGCATGTAGTAGTGGTTGGTGAATGGGACAGGGTTAGAGGAGTTAGGTTACAAGGCTTTGACATGCTGTTGGAGGACCCTGGGGTTATTGGGGCCAAATGCCGATTTTTTCAATTGCTAATTATGGCGAGAGATGGAACAATGGCGTCCACTACGAAATGAGGCAGTGGAAAATGTTGTCTGAGGCCAAGTAATACAGACTCCAGCTTAAGTTTATCCTAAACTGCTGGAGTAAAGTTAGTGGGTCAAAGTGGCTCTGGGCTTGAGGCTGAAGACCACAAACATTGAAACCAGCAATGTTTCAGAGGGTACTCGCCTTAGGGTCCAATGTCAACAACCAAAAGCCCCCAGTGCCATTCTGAAGGTATCCTCTCAGTGATGATGGTCCCGGTAAAAGCTGGTGTGATGCGATATCTGCTTTCGCTATCAGATCCTGGCCTGCACCACACGAATCCTCTCCTACCAATCAAAGTGAAGCACTACCAGTGCCCAAGATGCTTCCTTCGCAAGTGTGCCAGCGAGTTAATCAAAGCCTCGCTGGTGCAAAGAAACATTCATTGGGACATATTACAGCAGAGCATTTGCTCAGTTGCAGTCAAGGCCCTGTCATAGCAGATTTATCTGGGCTACCACCTAAAGAAAAGTACCGTTTTTTTGTCTGACGGTAATAGCTGTTAGCCTTTTCCCACCTGTCTTTGGAGTCTCAGCTGTGGTAGTCATGATTCTGTTACTCTAGCTGTGTAAATATAACATTAAACGCCTAATAAGCACACCTTGTACTTGGAGTAGAGCACTTTTGCAGGGTGAAAAGGCCTCCTCTCCTTTCTGCTCCCTCTCTTTTCACTACTCTTTCCTCCATGACCACAGAGTTAATACCCTGCCTATAAGGTGTTGATCTTAGCTGCCTTCCAGGTTCCATACTGGCTTAACCTGTCAGTTTCTGGGCCTGATTAAACCAAGCAAATAGCTTCACCTGTCTCTGATATTGGTCTGTGTAGTGTGCTGGCTGGCTGGCGGACTCACACAACCTGTGGATTCCATTGCTTGCTTCATTAGGCTGTCAGTCAAGGAGAATGTTTTCTCTGTCTGATTTCGTAGTAGCTGAAAGACTATACTGTAGATGAATATATCTTATATACCATAGGCCTCTGCTGTTTTGACATAGGATGGCATATCAAAACCAACCCTTGTTTTTCTGCGGAATATGGTAGAAAAAAATGCTTAATTGTTGATGATGGGGACATGGGGTATCTGAGGCGTTCCCCTGCTACTCAAAAAGAGCACACATAGTACTGTGTATAGGACTATGTCTGAGGGCCTTATAGGTTCACTGTCAGCCCGTGGATCATTATGAAAATATATTGTACTTTCTTGCTTATACACAGTAACATCTTAAAAAGGAAGTGTGATACATTGAAATGTAGAATCTTTATTGGAGATGCTTTTTAATCCAAGACCAGGCTTAATCTCTGTCCCGGAAAATCTGTATTACCCCAATGTTTACAAGGCCAAAGGCTGAATTGACTCTCTGGCAATCTCACATAGGTTACATGCACAGCACAGCTGTAACTACAGGCACTCACCGTAGGGATGTTTGCAGAGGCAGGGGCAGATCTGGTTTGCATTGATGATCCTCTTTAACCTCTATACAGATGGGAGAACATCGTCTAAACAGAATTTCATTAGCACTCATTTCAAAAAGCTAGATGGAGGTCAAGCTTTTTTCATAGTTGTGGATGTTTTGGAATGGGATTTTTCCACTGAACATTATGTGGCACCCTATAAAGTTGCTCAACATAACACCTGACAGACATCTGTAAAATGTTTTTATTTTCATTTTACTGAAAATATACTGTACCTTGCATACCTCTTCCTTCCCATAACCACAACAAATGTTTTGCAGGAACATGAAAAGTTATCCAGGCTATGGTTTCGGTTTCCATGAGCAGAACCAATATGCTAGTGAATCCAGAAAGGTAATGTTTGTATACAATAAAGGTGCTTGGACCAACCACTTTGAATATTTTCTCTCAAGGAATTGAATTCCTTTAAAATAGATAGTATAAACATGATGGCTATTTGCATGTGGAAACTTTACTACACCTTTAAAGGGCAACTCCACAACTTTTTAACTTTATTTTCATTATCTCCAGCACAATACCAACATACACTACATTACCAAAAATATGTGGTCACCTGCTCGTCCAACAGGCTTTCCACTAGATGTTGGAAGATTGCTGCGGGGACTTGCTTCCATTCAGCCACAAGAGCATTAGTGAGGTTGGGCACTGATGTTGGAAAATTAGGCTTGGCTCACAGTCGGTGTTCCAATTCATCCCAAAGGTGTTTGATGGGGTTAAGGTCAGGGCTCTATGCAGGCCAGTCAAGTTCTTCCACATCGATCTCGACTAACCATTTTGTGCACGGGGGCATTGTCATGCTGAGACAGGAATGGGCCTTCCCCAAACTGTTGCCACAAAGTTGGAAGTACAGAATAGTCTAGAATGCCATTGTATGCTGTAGCGTTAAGATTTCCCTCCACTGGAGGTAAGGGGCCTAGCCCGAACCATGAAAAACAGCCCGACACCATTATTCCTCCTCCACCAAACTTTACAGTTGGTACTATGCATTCGGGCAGGTAGGTATAGGTAAAATAGGTAAAAAGTACCACAAAAATAACAGTGATTTTAAAATACTATGATATCTGCAGTGATGTGGGGAGCAAGAAAAAAAAAGGTTTTTTACTTTTAATGCTACCCTGTGATGTCAGAGAGAAACATTTTAAAAGACTTTTCTTCTTATATTTTTAACCACAGATCATAGAAACCCGCTGTTTTCACATATGTAGACACTGGTTTGGTGCTGGAGATAATGAATATAAGGTTGAAAGGTGGCGGAATTGCCCTTTAATAATGGTGTTATAACAAAACATTGGTCAAACTCCTGCCACCTGTTTTGTTTTAACGCTGTAAGATACTGTACTTTGACATTAGGCTACATTACATGATCTTTGGATGTGATAGTTACATGTTAATGTATAAAGTTGGTTGTCATATAAAATGGCAGCATTAATGGAATTTCTAATTAGTTTCCAATAAGTTATTGGGTAGCACTCCCCGTTCCCTTTCACTGAACTGCTGTGATAAGGATACATGCATTCCTCTCGCGGACTCCAAGACGCCCAGGGGTTGCGTCGACGCGGTTCAAGTCTATAAAGAGGGCTGAGCAACGAAACAAATGTTGAATAATACATGGTTGCCTGTGCAAGCTTTTGGAGACTGAGTCTTGATCTTGGTGACGGACTTCTCATGCGGTTGCTCGTTTTATTTTCTTTAGGAGAGAATGAGGCACTCCTCGGAATACATTACTTCACTATCAGCTCAGGTGAATCATTGTTGATAATAAGTAACATTCTCGTGGATTAATCCCTGAGTTTAAGGAACTTTAGAATTTCATGGTTCACAGTTAAATTATTTAACATCTGAAAACCGAAGGAATAAATCTTCATTTGTGTCTATGGATTCACTGTTTGGTCAGGTAATATCATTATTACTTATTTCACAACATGAATGATATTATTGTAGCCTATGCTGCTGAACTAGCTATGAACATTAAAAATAACAATTTTGATCATGCACACAGGTCCCTTTTAATTTGTACATGGCAAATTAATTGAATAGCACATTGAGTCATTTTATATTTATAAATCATTCATGATATTTACAATGAACAATTGTTTGGGGTTTTTTTCGAATAAAATGGGTGAAATATTTTTTCCCAGGTCAAAAGTTACACTCCATGTAATTAGTAGTTACATACATTGTTCATCTTAATAAGGCTTTTTAGAATAACTATGCATGTTTTTTGTTTTACCAATAATAAGTGCACATGTATTGGGCTGAATTAGTATGATTTCATTTATTTTTTAAACCTGAAATTCTCTCATGAGAAGAAATTGTTTGTAAATTGCCTCCAGTGTGTCAGAGTGGCTCTGGGTCGTTCATAAATTCAGAGCGATGTCAGATTATCTGTTCATAAATTCAGAGCGCTTCGCTCTCGGAGCGTTCAGAGCGCACACTGGACGCTCTGGCCGAGGAGTAGGGTTGATCCGAGCGTTCTGACCTCACAACAGCAGTCAAGCACCCAAGCTAATTGGCTAAAGTTGGTTAGCTTGCTTGCTACTTCCAGACAAAAAAGAGAGAACACCTCACTCTGACCATTTTACTCGCCCTAGCAGAGTTGGTTAGGCTGTTTTCATGTTATCTAGAGCGTTAGTGACTGTAACTGTGCTGCTAGCAACAATTTAATAACGTTTTTTTCGCCGACGTTTACTGACACCGGTCATATTCAACGGGTGTTGCACGTTCGTAAATTCATCAGTTATTCTGTGCTCTGGCACACTCAGACGAGAGTGCTCTGAACTCGGAGTAGAGAGACAGAGTGAATTTACGAACGCACCCTTTGTTAGACATTTTTGTTTTAGATTAGAAAAGCCAAAGAACGAGGACTGCAAATGCATCCTATAAAACTGTAGTAGCCTATGTGATGTTTGGCAAGGCAGGGGCATTACCTTTGTGTGTGTGTTTCTCATTAACAATGGTAAGGTCTCTCTGCTACAATCGATCCGAAATCATTGCTAGATCGATTCTGAGTAACTCATGAGAAAACACACCCTACACAGACTAGGCACAGTTTAGGATTTTATGTATACCTAATTTTGGAAGAAATATTGTGACTCTGTTCTGTTGTTCTGCATTGAAGGGTGTGAAGAAGAAGGAAAAAGGTGATTTGATTGTCATCGTGTAGCTGCTACGCCTATGGGTTTGCTATCATGATAGAGCACCTTTCACAGAATGTGTGCTGTGTCACTGTCAGACACGGTCAAGACTTGATGGAGCACCTTTCACAAGAACTGTCTTGACTTGTCCTGCATTCTCAGGTTGCAGAGTACCATGAGGGGGGAACTGTTTGGCATTTGTCTACAATAGGCTATTTAAAGGACACTAGCTAGCTCCCAGATAGGCCTACAGTCTGGGTAGACTACCTACATGATGCAATTATTTATAGAGAAGAGCAAGATTATTTTTATTTGTCAAATGGCAGCCAAGCATCATCATTACGTCACCAGAATAAGACCCTCGATATTTATTGGAAAGCAGCATCAAGAGCATCACCGTGCACTTTCACCACACTGAAGTTCATCATCATTTATTGCATGTGTAGCCTAATAAACGACACGCTTTCCGGAGTCTGACCACACAATTGTCATCATGCAACTACTGCAGAGGGACTACGCCTATGGATCTGCTATCATGATATAGCACATTTCACAGAATGTGTGCAGTGTCACTGTCAGACACGGTCAAGACTTGATGGAGCACCTTTCACAAGAACTGTCTTGACTTGTCCTGCATTCTCAGGTTGCAGAGTAGGACCATGAGGTGGAAACTGTTTGGCCTTTGTCTACAATAGCCTATTTCAAGGACACTAACCAGGTTTCCATCCAACGTTTTAATGAGAGTTAGCATGCAGTTTATTAGGCTACACATTAAATAAATGATGATGAACTTCACAGGGTGGTGAAAGTGCAAGGTGATGAGCTTGATGCTCCTTTCCAATAAATATCCAGGGTCTTATTCTGGTGACTTAATCATCGATGCTTGTCTGCCGTTTGACAAATAAAAATAATCTCGCTGTTTTGTCCATAATAATCTAATCACGTAGGCTTTACGTGCGCTCTAGCCAACAGCGCGCAATCTGCTCCCTGTACACTTTTGGCTAGCGCGCACGTCCCAAAACCAGTGGTACCAGCGTGGTAGCTATTTGGTTTCCATCCAATTGGCAACCGATTTTCATGCGAATATTCTAAAATCAGCATATGCACATTTTCCCACAAGAGATGTGTTTCCATCAAATTGACTTTCTGCGGATGAAAGGCTGTCCGTGATGAAATAGTGAACAAAAAAATAACTTTGGCGGTTACATTCCCATGTACCGAATAAAAAATACAAGTTAAATGGGTTTCCGCATTTTCAACTCTACTGATGGTTATGTCACAAAAAATGTTGAGTTAAATAGCGAATGTTCACGCTGGTCTTGGCACGTGCGCTCTAGCCAACAGCTCGCCTTACATTTTCCCACATTTTGTTAGGTTACAGCTTATTCTAAAATTGATTCAATTGTTTTCCCTCATCAATCTACACACAATACCTCATAATGACAAAGCAAAAACGGTTTTTGTAGACATTTTGGCTAATTTATTAAAAATAAAAAACTGAAATATCATATTTACATAAGTATTCAGACCCTTTACTCAGTACTTTGTTGAAGCACCGTTGGCAGCGATTACAGCCTCGAGTCTTCTTGGGTATGAAGCTACAAGCTTGGCACACCTGTATTTGGGGAGTTTCTCCCATTCTTCTCTGCAGATCCTCTCAAACTCTGTCAGCTTGGATGGGGAGTGTCGCTGCACAGCTATTCTCAGGTCTCTCCAGAGATGTTCGATCGGGTTCAAGTCCGGGCTCTGGCCGGGCCACTCAAGGACATTCAGAGACTTGTCCCGAAGCCACTCCTGCGTTGTCTTGGCTGTGTGCTTAGGGTCGTTGTCCTGTTGGAAGGTGAACCCTCGCCCCAGTCTGAGGTCCTGAACGCTCTGGAGCAGGTTCTCATCAAGGATCTCTCTGTACTTTGCTCTGTTCATCTTTCCCTCGACCCTGACTAGTCTTCCAGTCCCTGCCGATGAAGAACATCCCCACAGCATGATGCTGCCACCACCATGCTTCACCGTAGGGATGGTGCCAGGTTTCCTCCAGACGTGACACTTGGCATTCAGGCCAAAGAGTTCAATCTTCGTTTCATTAGACCAGAGAATCTTGTTTCTCATGGTCTGAGAGTCTTTAGGTGCCTTTTGGCAAACTCCAAGCGGGCTGTCATGTGCCTTTTACTGATGAGTGGCTTCCGTCTGGCCACTCTACCATAAAGGCCTAATTGGTGGAGTGCTGCAGAGATGGTTGTCCTTCTGGAAAGTTCTCCCATCGCCACAGAGGAACTCTAGAGCTTTGTCAGAGTGACCATCGGGTTCTTGGTCACCTCCCTGACCAAGGACCTTCTCCCCCGATTGCTCAGTTTGGCCTGGCGGCCAGCTCTAAGAAGAGTCTTGGTGGTTCCAAACTTCTTCCATTTAAGAATGATGGAGGCCACTGTGTTCTTGGGGACCTTCAATGCTGCAGAAATGTTTTGGTACCCTTCCCCAGATCTGTGCCTCGACACAATCATGTCACGGAGCACTACGGACAATTCCTTCGACCTCATGGCTTAGTTTTTGCTCTGACATGCACTGTCAACTGTGGGACCTTATATAGACAGCTGTGTGCCTTTCCAAATCATGTCCAATCAATTGAATTTAGCACAGGTGGACTCCAATCACGTTGTAGAAACATCTCAAGGATGATCAATGGAAACAGGATGCACCTGTGCTCAATTTCGAGTCTCATAACAAAGGGTCTGAATACTTAAATAAATTTGCTAAAATTTGTCATTATGGGGTATTGTGTGTAGATTGCTGAGGAAATTGTTTTATTTAATCCATTTTAGAATAAGGCTGTAACGTAACAAAATGTGGAAAAGTCAAGGGGTCTGAATACTTTCCGAAGGCACTGTACATTATGAGATTATTATGGACAAAAGAGCGAGATTATTTGTATTTGTCAAACGGTAGCCAAGCGTCGATCATCATGTCACCAGAATAAGACTCTCGATATTTATTGGGAAGGAACATCCACTTTCACCACCCTGTGAAGTTTATCATCTGTAGCCTAATAAATTGCTTGCTTTCCCGATTCCTATCATCGCGTGACTCCAAGTTAATTTCAATATGATGGTTATTATATCAATATTTGCGCATAAAAGCGTTTCCACCGCCATTTCTTGCATAATTAACTTTACTTGATGTATTGTTGTTAGGAAATAACTGAATACTGAATGAGTTTTCGTTTCACCAGTAAAATGTGTCTTTATTCTACGTATAATAGGCTATTGGTTACTTTGCAAGTTTGGTTATGGGAGTACTATATATTAGTGAGGTTAGGAGTTTTTCCTGGTCAACTGGTCAGTATATTAATAATAACACCTTTCCTATTTGCAGTGCCCTCCCACTCTGAGGACCCCCATGACTCCCAGAGGCCAGTGATGTTGGCCATGCAGCACTACAACTCCTCAGGCCTGGCTGCCCCCCATCTCCTCCCCAACCAGACTAGGGGGGTGGAGGGGGTGCCGGCCATGGCCTGGAGGGCAAACATCACAGAGAGGCCCATGTCTCCCCCCAGTAACCCCACGGCAGCCGGCCTCTCCATGACCCTGGGCATCCTGTCCAACATCGTGGCCCTGGTCATCCTGGCCAAAGCCTACGCCCGCCTGCGCCGCCGCTCCAAGGCCACCTTCCTGCTCTTCGCCAGCTCCCTGGTGGCCACGGACTTTGCCGGCCACGTCATCCCCGGTGCCCTGGTGTTGAGGCTGTACTCAGCTGGGTCTGCGACTGGGCCCTTAGCTCGCGCTGCCACCGATGCCCCCTGCCAGTTCCTAGGGGGTAGCATGGTGTTCTTCGGCTTGTGCCCATTGTTCCTAGGCTGTGCCATGGCTGCTGAGCGCTGCCTGGGCGTCACACAGCCCCTGCTCCATGCCTCACTGGTCACCACGGCTCGCACCAAGATGGCGCTGGCTCTCATCTGGCTGCTGGCTCTGTGTGTGGCCCTCCTGCCCTTCTTCAGGCTGGGGGCCTACACCTACCAGTACCCCTGGACCTGGTGCTTCATCAGGGTCCTGGGAGAGACTCAGGAGACGGACGTGGCCTTTGTCATGCTGTTCTCTGGACTGGGCCTGGCCTCTCTGACTGTGGCCCTGGTGTGTAATACCATCAGTGGGGTCACGCTGGTGCTTGCCAGACTGCGTAAGAAGTGTAAGACCTGCTAACCGTCGCTCAGCCAAGTCCCACGACATTGAGATGGGGCCAGTGGTGGCTCTGATCACCTCTTGCACGTGGAGCCCCTGTGGTGAGTGGAAGATCAGTTCATGAAGCTACAATTCTGTGAATCAGTGGAGGGGCATCTGCCCAGAGGACCACAGCGCCTTCGGAAAGTATTCAGACCCCTTACATTTTTCCACATTTTGTTAGGTTACAGCCTTATTCTAAAATTGATTCAATTGTTTTCCCTCATCAATCTACACACAATACCTCATAATGACAAAGCAAAAACGGTTTTATAGACATTTTGGCTAATTTATAAAAAATAAATAAATAATAATATCATATTTACATAAGTATTGAGACCCTTTACTAAGTACTTTGTTGAAGCACCTTTGGCAGCGATTACAGCCTCGAGTCTTCTTGGGTATGATGCTACAAGCTTGGTATGCCTGTATTTGGGGGAGTTTCTCCCATTCTTCTCTGCAGATCCTCTCAAGCTCGTTGGCTTGGATGGGGAGAATTGCTGCACAACTATTTTCAGGTCTCTCCAGAGATGTTCGATTAGGTTCAAGTCAAGGCTCTGGCTGGGCCACTCAAGGCCATTCAGAGACTTGTTCTGAAGCCACTCCTGCGTTGTCTTGGCTGTGTGCTTAGGGTCGTTGTCCTGTTGGAAGGTGAACCCTCGGCCCAGTCTGAGGTCCTGAGCGCCCTGGAGCAGGTTTTCATCAAGGATCTCTCTGTACTTTGCTCTGTTCATCTTTCCCTCGACCCTGACTAGTCTTCCAGTCCCTGCCGATGAAAAACATCCCCACAGCATGATGCTGCCACCACCATGCTTCACCGTAGGGATGGTGCCAGGTTTCCTCCAGATGTGACGCTTGGCCTTCAGGCCAAAGAGTTCAATCTTGGTTTCATCAGACCAGAGAATCTTGTTTCTCATGGTCTGAGAGTTTTTTTGCTTTTTGCTCTGACATGCACAGTCAACTGTGGGACCTTATATAGACAGCTGTGTGCCTTTCCAAATCATGTCCAATCAATTGAATTTAACACAGGTGGACTCCAATCACGTTGTAGAAACATCTCAAGGATGATCAATGGAAACAGGATGCACCTGAGCTCAATTTCGAGTCTCATAACAAAGGGTCTGAATACTTATGTAAATAAGGTATTTCTGTTTTTTGTTTTTTATACATTTGCTAACATTTGTCATTATGGGGTATTGTGTGTAGATTGCTGAGGAAATTGTTTTATTTAATCGATTTTAGAATAAGGCTGTAACGTAACAAAATGTGGAAAAATCAAGGGGTCTGAATACTTTCCGAAGGCACTGTACATGATGAGATTAATATGGACAAAAGAGCGAGATTACTTGTATTTGTCAAACGGTAGCCAAGCATCGATCATCGTGTCACCAGAATAAGACTTTCAATATTTATTGGGAAGGAGCATCAAGCTCATCACCTTCCACTTTCACCACTCTGTGAAGTTTATCATCTGTAGCCTAATAAATTGCTTGCTTTCCCGATTCCTATCATCGCGTGACTCCAAGTCTATTTCGATATGATGGTTATTATATCAATATTTGCGCATAAAAGCATTTCCACCGCCATTTCTTGCATAATTAACTTTACTTTAAGATTTATTGTTGTTAGGTAATAACTGAATACTGAATGAGTTTTTGTTTCACCAGTAAAATGTGTCTTTATTCTATGTATAATAGGCTATTGGTTACTTCGCAAGTTTGGTTATGGGAGTACTATATATTAGTGAGGTTAGGAGTTTTTCCTGGTCAACTGGTCAGTATATTAATTATAACACTTTTCCTATTTGCAGTGCTCTCCCACTCTGAAGACCACCATGACTCCCAGAGGCCAGTGATGTTGGCCATGCAGCACTACAACTCCTCAGGCCTGGCTGCCCCCCATCTCCTCCCCAACCAGACTAGGGGGGTGGAGGGGGTGCCGGCCATGGCCTGGAGGGCAAACATCACAGAGAGGCCCATGTCTCCCCCCAGTAACCCCACAGCAGCCGGCCTCTCCATGACCCTGGGCATCCTGTCCAACATCGTGGCCCTGGTCATCCTGGCCAAAGCCTACGCCCGCCTGCGCCGCCGCTCCAAGGCCACCTTCCTGCTCTTCGCCAGCTCCCTGGTGGCCACAGACTTTGCCGGCCACGTCATCCCCGGTGCCCTGGTGTTGAGGCTGTACTCAGCTGGGGCTGCGACTGGGCCCTTAGCTCGCGCTGCCACCGATGCCCCCTGCCAGTTCCTAGGGGGTAGCATGGTGTTCTTCGGCTTGTGCCCATTGTTTCTGGGCTGTGCCATGGCTGCTGAACGCTGCCTGGGCGTCACACAGCCCCTGCTCCATGCCTCACTGGTCACCACGGCTCGCACCAAGATGGCGCTGGCTCTCATCTGGCTGCTGGCTCTGTGTGTGGCCCTCCTGCCCTTCTTCAGGCTGGGGGCCTACACCTACCAGTACCCCTGGACCTGGTGCTTCATCAGGGTCCTGGGAGAGACTCAGGAGACGGACGTGGCCTTTGTCATGCTGTTCTCTGGACTGGGCCTGGCCTCTCTGACTGTGGCCCTGGTGTGTAATACCATCAGTGGGGTCACGCTGGTGCTTGCCAGACTGCGTAAGAAGTGTAAGACCTGCTACCGTCGCTCAGCCAAGTCCCACGACATTGAGATGGTGGCCCAGCTGGTGGGCATCATGATCACCTCTTGCATCTGCTGGAGCCCCCTGCTGGTGAGTTGGGAAAGATCAGTTCACTGAAGCTCACAATTCTGCATGAATCAGTGGAGGGGTCAAAACTATCTTTATTGTGTTCCATTCGGGAATTAAGGTCTCTTTTCAATCCTTATCATGGAAATTGAAAGGCAATGCTCCCATGTTAGCGGGGACTGCATTCATGGTAAACGCTGCATATGTCTGCTCAATTGGAAAATCCCATATGAAAAAAGATTAGTACACTACGGTATCAATCAGGGCTCTCCAACACTGTTCCTGGAAAGCTGCCGTCCTGTAGGTTTTTGCTCCAACCCCAATCTAGCACATCTGATTCTAATAATTAGCTAGTTGATAAACTGAATCAGGTTAGCCTCAACTGGGGTTGGAGTGAACACCTACAGGAGGGTAGCTCTCCAGGAATAGATAACCCTGGTATAAATACTATCTTAACAGATAGTTTAACACTTCTGCTTTTTTATGTAACCTGTAGGGAACACAATATGGTCTATACTTGGCATGTAGGTTTCTCACTTATGGGTGTCACAAATTGGGCTATGGGGGAGAGGAATGGGTAGGGTATATGCAAATTAAATACTGTCGTCTTTACTATAGTAAAAAACGTTTCGTGTTTTTGCGGACTGTAGTGTTTTTGTGGACATCACGGTGGTATTTACTACAGTGTTCTTTTGCGGATAATACTGTAATATTAACTGTAGTATTCTACAGTACACTACAACATTCTATAGTAAGTACAACACATGATTCAGGGATACTACAGATACTACAGAATTCTATAGTAAACTGTAGTAATTTTTCATGTGGGTTACATTTACATTTCTATTGCGCAATCTGTAACGCTTCAGCGATACAGATTGAATAGAGCCCTTAATCTTCATTCACTGAGATACTGAAATGGATTTGACTTCAACTATGGAAATGAAGAGTTAGAGCTCTATAATCTGAAATGATCCAAGTCATCACCTACCACTGAGCTGTGATAGGAATGACATGCTCTTCTGAATGTTCATGCATCCCATTCTCAGGCTGTGTGAAAGTGCATGGTGATTTATCATCAAATAAGAATGGTGTACATCAGCACTTCATGTAATCCTTATAAATAATAGTAATGTTCATAATTGTTTGTGGCTCGGAGGAATGTAAATATCCAAGATATTCTGACCTATAATTGTTTATTAATTATTTCAATTTAACCCTTATTTTACAAGGTAAGTTGACTGAGAACACATTCTGATTTACAGCAACAACCTGGGGAAAAGTTACAGGAGAGAGGAGGGGGGATGAATGAGCCAATTGGAAGGTGGGGATGATTAGGTGGCCATAATGGTATGAGGGCCAGATTGGAAATGTAGCCAGGACACCAAGGTTAACACCTTACTCTTACGATAAGTGCAATGGGATCTTTAGTGACCACAGAGAGTCAGGACACCTGTTTAACGTCTCATCCGAAAGACGGCACCCTCCACAGGGCAATGTCCCCAATCACTGCCCTGGGATCTTTTTGTTTTTGACCAGAGGAAAGAGTGCCTCTTACTGGCCCTCCAACATCGCTTCCAGCAGCATCTGGTCTCCCATCCAGGGCCAACCAGGACCGACCCAACCTGCTTAGCTTCCGAGGAAAGCCAGCAGTTGTCTGCAGGGTGGTATGCTGCTGGCTAAAACTCAAAAGCATAAAATAATATTGTAAAAATTATCTGCTAACAAAAGTAATTCATCCTCTCAGTAAATCTCCAAGATATTCTGCCCCATAAACTCAAAGGCCTGAAATAATATAGAAAATCTCTGCTAAGAATCCAGTAATAATTCATCCTCTTTTTGTATACCTTCTGAAATAGACACTTTCAGTTCCCAGTCATTAACACTTAAAACACATGGAAAGACAGGGTGCACTGCGCCAAGGGTATAAATGAATAGTCATGGTGGGCCATTGATGGAATAAATTATAAATGATTTAAGGGCATGCCATTATGAAGGGCTTGAATAGCCCTGGTCTTGCTGGGCATCACCCTATTTCAGATTGGATTTCTGAAAGTCAGTGGTGCGTCAGAGTGGCTGACATTGAGAATGTTAGCCCTGACAGGCATCGTAGCTTCTCTCCTTTTCCAATATTCTGGGAAAGAGGAATATTAGCCAACAAAAATAATTTCATACAAACACATGATGATGGTTTGATGATTTTCAATCAAGGAGATTTTTTTGTACAATTCCAATACTAAGAATTTGGTATAAACGGTTGATATGTCATATCAATTATTCAGGTCCACTATAAAAGTAACTATTCATTTTGACACATAAACTGTGAGGAGTGAAAGAGGACAGACTATAAACCATGCTTCAAATTATGGTGGCCTGTTACTTGTCACCACTGGGTCTGTTCAAACTTAGAGTAGCCTTGAGCAACCCCCCCCCTCCCCCTTCTCCCTCCCCAAAAGTATCCATTGTTCTTTATTTAGAACATTATGTGCATTAAAAGTGTCTATTCATGGATTTCTCACCTGGAAGACATTAAGCCCATTAATGTTAGTAGCTGACCTGTTGATTTGCACAATACTGCACAAAAGTTGGGCCCAAGTATAATTACTAATGTGTGTACTAAATAGGAAACGCTTAGCATTTATTTTTACTGTTGGGGAAATGTGAGAACCATTAAAGAGGCATTGTTTGTGCTTAAAATCTCTTAATAAGCTGTGGCTAATTGTTATAAATATTGCAATAAAGATTTATCATGCTACAATTGAGATTTTAGAGCCTGTGATTTCTTACATCAGTAAAGCTATTCATAGGAACACGTAATGAAGATGCATTTTGACTGCTCCATTTATTTATTTATTTGTTCGTATGTGGCATACTACAGTGGCAGGTAATGTAGTTATATTACTAGCAGTGTATGCAGATTGATGCAAACATATCTACACCAGCTGAACATCTCTATATCCTGCATAACCACTGTAAAATACTTTGCTAAACTAACCTAGGTATCTGTGTTCCTTGCAGATCTTTGGCCTGATGTCAGTCACACGGTCCTACAGCGGTTCCATAGGCAGTGACCAGGACACATACAGGAGGTTGATGGTGATGGGCGTCCGGCTGGCCTCCTGGAACCAGATCCTGGACCCCTGGGTCTACATCCTGCTGCGCCGGGCCGTGCTGAGAAAGATCTACCGCATCACCAAGAGCCGAGCCAGCTTCAAGAACAGCACCTTCCGCCACTGGGACATCAGCTCCTTCCAGAACTCTGAGAAAATAAACACTGTCAACAGGATCTGAGGGAGAAGAAAAGACAGACAGAAAGAGACTTCTTATCAGGTCCTTTGTTGTTCTTGGTGCTTTATTTACCACCCAAGGAGAAAACGGAACCTCCAGCAGTAGGATCTACAGCAGTGTTGGTGTATCACACAAAAGGAAATACCCATTGCCTATAAGACCTATGTTCCTTTATTGAGAACTGTGTGGGTCTGCCTGACTGTGAAAGTCTATGGGGTTTGGGATTAAAAACATCATCCTCCAGATCTTGGATCTCTTTCAGATTGATTTCATTGGCCAGTAAGACCTGATTTTGACTGTTGTGTGGTGAAGTCTCATAATTTCGATGAGAAACAGCCAAACCAGACTATACTCAAACAAAGAAAATGTCATAAACGGATTTATAACAAAAAATTCTGACCAAGTAAGGACAGTATGCCTTCACCTGGATACTGGACACATAGCACAGATAATTCTGGCCATGGAGAAAGGCCTGTTGTAAAATTGTATGGTAGGTCACGCAACATGAATCTTTCTCTGTGTACATAACAGTACATGAAATGAAGCTGCCTATAAGATCTCAACAACAAACATCTCAAATTATATATATATATATATGTGTGTGTGTGTGTGTGTTACTGTCAGTGTTTTTTGGAGTTCATACTTTGTTTGTTTGTGGAAATGTCAAAGTGCACTTTGACACATCATGAAGTCAGTGGCACTATGCCAAAGCAAAGTAAAGGCTGTGCTTTTACCTGTGCTTGAAGATGTGAAAGACATACAGTATGTGTCAAACCTGTAATGCTATTGACATGTGTGTATTTATTACTTACAGTTGAAGTCGGATGTTTACATACACCTTAGCCAAATAGATGTTAAACTCCATTTTTCACAATTCCTGACATTTAATCCTAGTAAAAATTCCCTGTCTTAGGTCAGTTAGGATCACCACTTTATTTAAAGAATGTGAAATGTCAGAATAATAGTAGAGAGAATTATTTATTTCAGATTTTATTTATTTAATCACATTCCCAGTGGGTCAGAAGTTTACATACACTCAATTAGTACTTGGTAGCATTGCCTTTAAATTGTTTAACTTGGGTCAAACGTTTCGCGTAGCCTTCCACAAGCTTCCCACAATAAGTTGGGTGAATTTTGGCCCATTCCTCCTGACAGAGCTGGTGTAACTGAGTCAGGTTTGTAGGCCTCCTTGCTCGCACAAGCTTTTTCAGTTCTGCCCACAAATTCTCTATAGGATTGAGGTCAGGGCTTTGTGATGGCCACTCCAATACCTTGACTTTGTTGTCCTTAAGCCATTTTGCCACAACTTTGGAAGTATGCTTGGAGTCATTGTCCATTTGGAAGACCCATTTGCGACCAAGCTTTAACTTCCTGACTGATGTCTTGAGATGTTGCTTCAATATATCCACATAATTTTCCTTCCTCATGATGCCATTTATTTTGTGAAGTGCACCAGTCCCTCCTGCAGCAAAGCACCCCACAGCATAATGCTGCCACCCCGTGCTTCACGGTTGGAATGGTGTTCTTCGGCTTGCAAGTCCCCCCTTTTTCCTCCAAACATAACGATGGTCATTATGGCCAAACAGTTCTATTTTTGTTTCATCAGACCAGAGGACATTTCTCCAAAAAGTACGATCTTTGTCCCCATGTGCAGTTGCAAACCGTAGTCTGGCTTTTTTATGGCAGTTTTGGAGCAGTGGCTTCTTCCTTGCTGAGTGGCCTTTCAGGTTATGTCGATATAGGACTTGTTTTACTGTGGATATAGATACGTTTGTACCTGTTTCCTCGAGCATCTTCACAAGGTCCTTTGCTGTTGTTCTGGGATTGATTTGCACTTTTCGCACAAAAGTACGTTCATCTCTAGGAGACAGAACCCCTCTCCTTCCTGAGCGGTATGACAGCTGCGTGGTCCCATGGTGTTTATACTTGTGTACTATTGTTTGTATAGATGAACGTGGTACCTTCAGGCATTTGGAAATTGCTCCCAAGGATGAACCAGACTTGTGGAGGTCTACAATTATTTTTCTGAGGTCTTGGCTGATTTATTTTAATTTTCCCATGATGTCAAGCAAAGAGGCACTGAGTTTGAAGGTAAGCCTTGAAATACATCCACAGGTACACCTCCAATTGACTCAAATGATGTCAATTAGCCTATCAGAAGCTTCTAAAGCCATGACATCATTTTCTGGAATTTTCCAAGCTGTTTAAAGGCACAGTCAACTTAGTGTTTGTAAACTTTTGACCCACTGGAATTGTGATACAGTAAATTATAAGTGAAATAATCTGTCTGTAAACAATTGTTGGAAAAATTACTTGTGTCGTGCACAAAGTAGATGTCCTAACCGACTTGCCAAAACTATAGTTTGTTAACAAGAAATTTGTGGAGTGGTAATGAGTTTTAATGACTCCAACCTAAGTGTATGTAAACTTTCGACTTCAACTGTATATTATTTCCCCAATTGTCTGGGGACCTACAGTGAGGGAAAAAAGTATTTGATCCCCTGCTGATTTTGTACGTTTGCCCACTGACAAAGACATGATCAGTCTATAATTTTAATGGTAGGTTTATTTGAACAGTGAGAGACAGAATAACAACAAAAAAATCCAGAAAAACGCATGTCAAAAATGTTATAAATAAATAAATAAGTATTTGGCCCCTCTGCAAAACATGACTTAGTACTTGGTGGCAAAACCCTTGTTGGCAATCACAGAGGTCAGACGTTTCTTGTAGCTGGCCACCAGGTTTGCACACATCTCAGGAGGGATTTTGTCCCACTCCTCTTTGCAGATCTTCTCCAAGTCATTAAGATTTCGAGCCTGACGTTTTGGCAACTCGAACCTTCAGCTCCCTCCACAGATTTTCTATGGAATTAAGATCTGGAGACTGGCTAGGCCACTCCAGGACCTTAATGTGCTTCTTCTTGAGCCACTCCTTTGTTGCCTTGGCCGTGTGTTTTGGGTCATTGTCATGCTGGAATACCCATCCACGACCCATTTTCAATGCCCTGGCTGAGGGAAGGAGGTTCTCACCCAAGATTTGACGGTACATTGCGCCGTCCATCGTCCCTTTGATGCGGTGAAGTTGTTCTGTCCCCTTAGCAGAAAAACACCCCCAAAGCATAATGTTTCCACCTCCATGTTTGACGGTGGGGATGGTGTTCTTGGGGTCATAGGCAGCATTCCTCCTCCAAACATGGCGAGTTGAGTTGATGCCAAAGAGCTCAATTTTGGTCTCATCTGACCACAACACTTTCACCCAGTTCTCCTCTGAATCATTCAGATGTTCATTGGCAAACTTCAGACAGGCCTGTATATGTGCTGTCTTGAGCAGGAGGACCTTGCGAGCGCTGCAGGATTTCAAGCCTTCACGGCGTAGTGTGTTACCAATTGTTTTCTTGGTAACTATGGTCCCAGCTGCCTTGAGATCATTGACAAGTGTAGTTCTGGGCTGATTCCTCACCATTCTCATGATCATTGCAACTCCACGAGGTGAGATCTTGCATGGAGCCCCAGGCTGAGGGAGATTGACAGTTATTTTGTGTTTCTTCCATTTGCGAATAATCGCACCAACTGTTGTCACCTTCTCACCAAGCTGCTTGGCGATGGTCTTGTAGCCCATTCCAGCCTTGTGTAGGTCTACAATCTTGTCCCTGACATCCTTGAAGAGCTCTTTGGTCTTGGCCATGGTGGAGAGTTTGGAATCTGAATGATTGATTGCTTCTGAGGACAGGTGTCTTTTATACAGGTAACAAGCGGAGATTAGGAGCACTCCCTTTAAGAGTGTGCTCCTAATCTCAGCTCGTTACCTGTATAAAAGACACCTGGGAGCCAGAAATCTTTCTGATTGAGAGGGGGTCTAATACTTATTTCCCTCATTAAAATGCAAATCAATTGATAACATTTTTGACATGCGTTTTTCTGGATTTTGTTTTTGTTATTCTGTCTCTCATTGTTCAAATAAACCTACCATTAAAATTATAGACTGATAATTTCTTTGTCAGTAGGCAAACGTACAAAATCAGCAGGGGATCAAATACTTTTTTCCCTCACTGTAAATTAAGCTAAGTGTTGCAAAAGCTATAGAATGTAATGTTGTCTAATAAAGTTTATGTTGCATGTTACCCTTTTTTACTGAAAAACACATTTTACTTCAAATGAAACCACAAAATGGCCTGTCAGGGTCATAGCACCATGGTGCTAATCCCAGGGGAGATCAGAGGTGTGGAAAATGTCATCTGACAGGGTGAAGTAGAACAGAAATGATCTCAGTATAGGTATGAATTGATGCAAGTTTTCACTACTCCATCAATTGCAATAGTTGTAATGAAGGTTCAGAGTAAAGTGGTCTGTAATGGCTCATATTGATGAACTACCACAAATAATTTCCTTCAATACATACAACGCCTTACAATTACATTAATTTTCTCTGGGGTTTATGGGAATTATATGAATTCAATAAGGAATTCGAAAATAAGACAGCTCTACATCACAGAGTTGCTCCTTAAAATCCAGAAACAAAAAGGAATTTACATACAACCGCTTATCACACCAGGCCAAATAATTTGTTAGCGGAGTTTACCCTGAATCCCCCCCCTCCCTCACCAGCAAAGCACCCCCACACCATCACACCTCCTCCTCCATGCTTCACGATGGGAACCACACATGCGGAGATCATCCATTCACCTACTCTGTGTCTCACAAAGACACGGCGGTTGGAACCAAAAATCTCAAATTTGGACTCATCAGACCAAAGGACAGATTTCCACTGGTCTAATGTCCGTTGCTCGTGTTTCTTGGCCCAAGCAAGTCTTCTTCTTTAGTAGTGGTTCTTTGCAGCAATTCGACCATGAAGGCCTGATTCACGCAGTCTCCTCTGAACAGTTGATCAAATCAAATCAAATTGTATTGGTCACATGCACGTGTTTAGCAGATGTTATTGCGGGTGTAGCGAAATGCTTGTGCTTCTAGCTCCGACAGTGCAGTAATATCTAACAAGTAATATC